TTTGCTGTTTATCCATCTGTAGTGAGATCATGGGCGTCTACCGGAATGAGACTGTTAAGCACCCTCTTGTATAATAAATGTCATTTGAGGGTGCTTTTTCCACTTATATGAATTACTATTGATTTTGGCCTTGCCAGCGGATGAAGAAAATGTTACTTCATTGTGAATGAACTGCAGGGGAAATGAAGGTTTGTTGCGTTGAATTCAAGTTGAAAATTCGAGTGGCTGAAACTGAGATTCAGAGAGAAAGTAAGGAGAGGTTACCATTCTTAACTTAGCCCCAAGAGAAGGCTAAAAGCACATTTTAATGGAGAGTGTGGGAATAAACACATTATTAACTACCCAACGTCGCTTGGGTAACCCAAATCTTACATGAACTGAAGCTTTTCCAGCAACATCATAGTTTCTTGGGGAGACTTGAGGATTTGGGGTGGCAAAAAGATATATATATATATACACACATACATACATACATATACATACATACACACACACACACACACACACACACATATCTCTCAAGCGAGAAAACAGCAAAGTGTCAAACCACCAACCAACATTCTGGTTGAACTGCTTCTGCCTCTTCAGTGCTGGCAATAACCAGTTTGTATAATACTATTTCCTGCATTTCCTGGATTCTGATAAAAGTCTTTTGATACGCAGGAATGCAACATGAAATTATTGGTTTCTGGAGGTGCAGTTGCTTAAAGAGTTTCCATGTATAATAAATATTATGCAAAGACATAAATGCCAAGGAGGGTTTTCAGAAGCCATTTATGATGCTAGATGAATTCCAGCACTGAGCGTCAATGATCTAAACGGCCTCTCCCAACTCGGGTTGATTTTGGCAGTTCCAGTGGATGGTGAAAGTCTGTTGCATTACATATTGCCAGATAAATGGGGAAAAATCAATTGGAAACTAGGTCTAGGCATCATACGATGGGGCACATGTACTTTTACCACCCCACTATGGTTTCCTTTACACATCTCCTCACCACTTTCGAAATGAAAGCATTGGGCAAAGCTACACATTACCATTTTTCATTTGTAAGCCGTGACAGGTAGGTGGAGGCCTGCCAACACCGTGGGGGTGGGTCATCTTTTCGGTCTTCCACTAAAATTACTCCATGCATCAGTAGGAAATTCACTCTCGCTGTAGCTGTGGAAGATTTTTAAGTACGGTTGTAGTCTGGTCCTTCCTTCCTGCAATGAGGATGAAGATTTGGGGTTCCCAGCAGGTTCTTCAAATATACAAAAACCAACCAACGTAATACAATCATGCTTGTAATGCAGTGCAGTCAGGCAAATAAAAATTACTTGCGTGAAACGTGGTTTATTAAGCTTCTTTGCCCAGGGAGAGATGGAGAACCTCATCTGTTTTCTTTATTCCAGACCATCTTGCATTACTCCCTTACTGGGCACCAAGAAGGCAAAAGAGTATCTGGCTCTTTGCACACTCATTGACCTGAAATCATTTCCCATCTAGGATGACCAGATAAAAGATTTAAATGCAGAGTTGGTGAGAACATTTAAAGCTGTTCCTCCATCCGTCAGGATCTGGACAGTTGCAGTGTGAATGTTGAAAGCCTCCTTAGATTTTGCCAGATTGTCCTTGGAGAAGACAACCTGTGGTCCTCCAGATCTGGCTGGACGACAACTCCCAGCCTGCAAAGCCAATGGTGAGAGATATTTTTGAACTAGAGCGTTCATCATCCCTTACCACTGGCTTTGCAGGCTGAGATTTTGATCTGGAGGGCTACAGACTTCCCATCAGTCAGTCTTCTTCTGAATTCCAAAAAAGCTCCTCTTTCAGTTAGCTGCTCTCAGTTTTTCCATTTGAGATCTATCTATTTCACCAGGTATACATGGAGTACTCTTTTCAGGAAGTTCCTGATATTGAATCAATTAGTGAGTCAGATGCCACGATGTAGGTTTGTCTCTGCCTCAGCCTGGTGACTTGGACTTACTGAGAAAGGGGTGATTTTCAACCTGACTTCTGGATAACTTCCTTGCAATATTACATTTCTTCTTTCCACAGCAGTCCTTTGGGTGGCCAAGTCTTCTGCAGAAATAAATTGCATAATGCAATTTGCATACTCCGCTATGGAAATAAATTGCATCATGCAAACTGCATAATCAGAGCCAGCTGCCTATGCACAAGCGAGGGAGGGGTTGCTGCATTGGGGCAGTCGGGAATGCCAAGAAGGAGTTGGATGTTACGGGGCCAGGGAAATAAAGACAAAGCCCGCTCAAGGGTTAACTCAACATAGAGTTAACAGGGAAGAGGAATTTGAATGCAGGAAATCAGTGGTTTTCTGAAAGGTGAGTTTCCATGCACACCTATGAAGTGAGAAAGTGGCTGACTGTTCCATTTTCCTTTGTAGCTCTGGAGGGTTAAAGGTTCTTGCGGGGAGAGGTGTGAACTAAAAGGGTAGCAACCGCATCACCAAGTACAGTTAAACATTCATGGCTTTTCCACTTTTCGTATTTCTCCTCTGCTTCTGGTATGATGCCCGGGGATGTGGTTCTGAGTGTCATGAGTTCTGCTCAGAAAACATTACCTTCGGCGTGGGGAGAGCAACGCTCAGTGTTTTGCGACACGTTTGGAAAAGGGTTTTGTACTGATCACGAATCACCCACGGAAAACCCATTGGGGGAATGAAAGCTTTTGGTTCACACTCTTCACCCTTTGAAGCTCAAAGCAGCTTAGAGCCATGTGGTATGGGTGAGCGTACCTACGCATCTCCAAGCACTTGTGAGAGATTGGGTAGGGGGTTCCTGGGGTCCAATTAGGACCAAGACCCTAATGCAAACTTTTAAAAGTGCAAGTTTGCCTTCAACCCAATGACACTGAAAAATTCAAACCAGGCATTGTACTTTGGCCTTGAACCATGAGGTGTTAGAAAGGTACCCTGGATCCTTAGCGTTCCATTTAAGAGTGTTTTGTACAATTCCTTTCTAATTCCCTTCCTTGTTCCAAAGTTTGAGAAAGCGGTGACTGTATCAAGAAATCAGGATGTGCCGAAAGCCTCAGAGCACCTCTTTGGCTAGACAATTGTCCTCTGCACATGCTGAGGGGAAGGCCAGGCTGGGCTCTGCAGCAACAACCAGAGAGGGCAGGACATAGGACATAGCTCCAGGCCAAGCTATAACATCTCTTTCTCTGCTGATTTATTTCAGGCTTTGGAATGTCACCTCGATAAAGCCAAACAATAAACACAGGATTGCAGAAGACTTACTTTCCTCTTGATTGCTGGCTTAAAATGACATGGGCTGAGATCCGTAAGCCACCATGGTCGAAACTCTCTTCTGCAAGGCAATAGCGGAAGAGAGGACACACGGTGTGTGGAATAAGCCCGGTGAGGTATTTTCAGCTGTTCTTTTTGACTTAGAAACGGGGGAAAGGAAATACCCTGCATGTCCAGGTTCAGTTTCTAGCACGCTTAGGGAATTTTAAACTCCGGCTTTATCCATGCATTCAGTCTACAGCCCAGCTTTCAGTTCAGGTGAAAAAGATGGATTACACTGTCAAGAAAAGCAAAAGCTAAAACAATCCAACTAAAAACTAAAACAATCAAAATGCAACCGCTTGCATTGAGAGGGGGGCTCAAGAGATACGTCTTCACCAATTTCCTAGAAGTAGCAAGTTACAATCTTACCCAATTCTGGGGGTGGCTGGTGCCTTGATGTTGCTCCCCAAGTGACTACCAGTTTTAACATCTATCCTTGGATCTATTTATTTTCTATTTATTTCAGATTATTGTATATTATAATTTTAATTTATTTTAATTGTTCTGTAAACTGCCCAGAGTTGTTTCAACAAGATGGGCAGTGACAAATTTGATATATAAACAATCAGACAGACAAACTGCGGGGGCCAAAGGCAGCCTGGAGGCACCAGCCAAGCCAATAAACTAGACTGTGAAATGGGGGTCTTATCACAAAAGTTCCTCTTGCCGATCACCCTGCACAAACAGGTTCATCATTTGTGTGTGGCGTGCCTTCAAGACAGTCTTAAGTCCTGGACGAGTCCTGCAGTTTCCTTGGCAAGATATTTGGAAGTGGTCTGACCCTGCCTCCTCCTTCCAAGGGCTGAGAGAAAGGGACTGGCCCAAGGTCACCCAGTTGGCTTCATGCCTAAGGCAAGACTTGAACTGCCTCCTGGTTTCTAGCCCAGTGCTTTTAACCACCACCTCAACCTGTCTGTCCAGTTCATAATTAAAAGCATTCTTGTCCATCCTACTCTTCAGTTCCCTCCCATCTACAAGGAAGACGTTCTGGATGTTTTGGAGCTTCTGAAAAATACCTTGTGATTCCTACTTCTGAAACGTAGCACAATGCCCTTTTCACTTACTGAAAGAATTCTTTCATTCCTGTTCTTCAAAGCAGCGTTTCTCGTTCTACCCCAAGGATCCCAAGACCCTGCTTGATACGGCTCCAAAAGGTCATTGATGCAGGAATCTAGCAGATTAAAAAATGAGGAGGGGGAAGAATGGGGGGGGAAGGGGGAATTTTCTTCCAATTCTGTTTTCTGAGCAGTTAGTGGGAACCTTTACACTGAGCTGCATTGAGGATGGAGAAACAGTGCCCCCTGCTGTCCACAAACATCAAATTACATGCCAGTGCCCCAAGGGCAGATTTGTAATTGCACCCCCAAAGGGACAAATCTTGGATCACATGGAGCTTCCAGCAGAATTTGGAAGCCCCAAAGTTTGCGCAAGGACGTAAAAATTGCAGGGGAAAGGTAAAGGAAGCAGAAATAATTACCTGTTACATCTGAACAAGATGGATTCCACGTGGCTTGGTTCTAGTCATCTGCATTTGAATTCTAACAGATCAGGATTCTAACCGCCCAGCTGAGAAAACCATAAGCAATTTTTAAAAGAAAGCATCTTCGTTCAACTTAGGATTCAGAAATCTTTTAGATCCCTTAGTCGCATCTGCTAGGCCTCAAGGAGTGATAAAACATAAGCAGCAGTGAAAGAAAGAAAGAGATTATCTGGGGGAAACCAGATTTAATGAGACAGGTTAAGAGTCCAACAAACCATACAGGATCTTGGTTGCAAGAGGAATAAAACCACCATAAGAAGGAGAGAGAAGTGAGCATATTCTTGAAGATGATCAAGGGGCCATTTTGGACTGGGCAGAGGTAGGTCATTTCCAGAGCAGGTAACAATCTCCTGATCCTGGAACATTCCTGTCTTAAGGTAGCCGTTTTGTTAAACTGCACTCTGATGTCGAGAGCTCCTGTTTCAATAGTCCTCGTCCGGAGACAAGGAAAAGGGGATGTACAAAATGTTCTGGACTCTGCAGTATGAGGACGGAGGAGCACACCGTGAAATGGGGAGGCAATGCGCGTTGAAGGGCTGGCTTTGTGGTGCGGAGGTCGCATGCACACGATCCCCTCCTGTGGATCTGAGACCTTGGCGACGTTAGGGAGCTCCTCCTGCGAATATGAGCTCCAGGGCAGCTTGGATGTCACCCCCAGTGGCCTGCAGGGCGCGGAGGCTCAGCTCGTCATCGTGGATGCCCATGTCCCGCAGCTGCTGCAGCTGAGGCTGCCACTGGCCCTGCAAGAGGAGAGCCAGCAAAGCAGCACCGTCAGGGACACGGAAAGATCTGCGCCCCGGCGCAACACTCAAACCTCTCTTGCGTGTGTCATTGTTCAACCTCACCTGCCTCACTGGGGTGTTGGGAGGGAGCCGGCACAATCGGACATTTAGACAATTGTGGAGTCCGTGGTGCTCTCTGAGCTTGGCTGTTTGCTTGCAGGCGTTTCATTCCCCGACTAGGTAACATCATCAGCGCAAGGGAGTGTGGGGTTTTCTCCCTGTTTATATACAGCAGCTTGCCCTGCCAGTGTTGGTGGGAGCGCGGTTTTCTCCTTGGCAGTTCCTTGATTAGGGTACTGTTTTCTGCTTGATTGTTTGTCTGGTGTTAATCCCCGCTTATCTGGGTGTGGGCTGCTGGAGAGGACTATTCTGAGCTTTTCGTTTCCTTCTTAGCTTTTTTATCCTCTCTTTTGAATGGTGTGTAAATGTGGTTTATCTCTATGTGTCTATTGATGGCTGATTTGTCTGAACGCCAAGCTTCCAGGAATTCCCTAGCGTTTTTGGGTTGAGCTTGGTCTAGGATGCTGAGTTTCCCAATTTAGACAACTGGAGGGCTGAACCCAAATGCAAACACATGCCGGCAAATGAATCCAATGAATGAATGAACGAAGACCCCAGCTTCCTGGAGGTTTACAGACCTGCATGTTGGGCTGTCCTGATGCCTGGAGAGCGTGCTGTAAGGCCTGGCTGAAGAGGTCATTGGTGATGGGTGTTCCCGACTGCACGCTGGAGGACATGGGAGAAGTGCCGGAAGAATGGCCCTGAAAAAGAGGGGCAAGACAGAAACTGTCAGTCAGGAGCAGATCACGCCTTCCTACCCTTGTAAGACCTGCTCCTGGCTTACCAGCCAGCCTAGCACCAGGGGAGGTTATAAGTGTAACAAAATTCATCACTCAGCCAGGAGATGTGATGGAAGGTATCTACAAGGAGGAGAGTGATGTGGGAGATCAAGGGTATCAGGGAGGAGGGGGTGCATTCCTGCAGGGGAAAGGAGACAAGAGACAACATAGTCCTCAGGAGGAGCGTGGGACGAGGAAGAGGTTCAGGGTTGCCACTCCCTAGAATCTCACAGGGTATGTCTGCTAGTTGCTGTAGTATAGATTGAGTTTGGCAAGACTGATGTCAGACCCAGCCTGAGAACAATGGTGAAACAGTCCAGTCGAGTATAGCTCCTTTATTTGCTCATAGACAGAATCTTGCCAAACTAAATCTATACTACAGCAACTAGCGGATACACCCTGGGAAATTCTAGGGAGTGGCTATCCTGAACCTCTTACTCTTCCCACGCTCCCCCTGCGGACTGTGTTGCCTCTTGTCTCCTTTCCTTTGCTGGGATGCAGCCCCTTCCTTCCTGATACCCTTGATCTCCCACAGGAGATGTTTTTTCATCAAGAAGGTAAGTGAAACTACTTGCATGCATGATAATGAGAAAAGGCTTGTCCACAGACAAACAAACCCAAACCTTTTTCAGGCTTTCCTGCCAGCCTAAAAGAAAGATGCAAGTGCTTTAAGAGTCACGCTAAAGCCACGCTGCTTTAATGATTCCATTCATTAAAGCAGCCATCTCTCTCTTTTTTTCCCCTTGCAATGAAGCATGAAAAAAGACAAGTTGCTCGTACAAATCCAAAACACTTCTGCCAAACCATCTTTGAAATCTGGAGTGCCCTAATATCAAAATTCCTCAACCTGGTGTCCTCCAGATAAATTGGACTGCAATGCCTTGTCACTTCCAGCCAAGAGCCTCACTGGCTGAAGACGACGGGAGCTACAGCCCAAGCTGTGTGACTGGAGAAGGCTACTCCGCCAGAGTATTCCTACTGCCCAAAAGAAAATTCCAACCGCCTGTTTAGGCTACATGTTCAAGGGGAAGAGGGATGTTATTGTTCCCTTGGAGAGACTATAATTCTTTCCTGATATCCTGATGTTTCTTGCCTTTCTTAATTGCAAGCCACTAGAGTCATTCTGAATCAGACAACTCTAGAACCTTGTTTGATAGATAGATAGATAGATAGATAGATAGATAGATAGATAGATAGATAGATAGATAGATAGATAGATAGATAGATAGGAGTCGTTTTTTCCCCTCCAATCCTCCACACTTTAGATCGAGTCTCTCCCACTGTCAGTCTTGTCTCCACCTCTCAGGAGGGACCTGGACTCCATCGATGGCTTTTAAGATCAGCTAAACCGCCTCTGCATCCAGCTCACCTGAGTTCCAGGCGTTGGGGTGTGTGAGCTGCTCTCTGGGGTGCTGGCGAGGGCAAGGGCCGTGGCCAACTCGCTCTGCGTGATGGGTCGAGGGCCTGCTGCCCCCGTGTAGCCAAGAGACGCTGGCCGGGATCCAGAGGTGCTGCTGGAGGGGGTGGTCCTTGTGCTCTGTTGAGGAAGAACAGGCCTTATGCAAAACAATGTTTTGAGAGAAATCCTTAAGCCCCATTCCCACGGATGATAACAAGAGGCTGCTGAGAGTTTCGGGAGTTTTCAAAAGCCACACTTAAACCCAGAAAAACTGGAATAATCCCACCATATCTAGTCCCAAGAGAAGATCTGGGGCAGGCCCTGTGCGAGGCACATGGGGTGTGGATCAGGCAACCAGCCTTCTCAGTGGCAGCCTGAATGTATGGAACACCCTCCCTCCAGAGATAGAAATGGCCCCAATCCTGCCTGGATTGCTTGAAGGAGACAAAGAGGTACCCCTTCTCAACCTGTGCTTTGGGCTTCCCTTCTCAAAGATGCCCACCCACCTAACCGTGGGACATCTTCTAACGTTACCTGATGGAAATCGTCTTCATCATCAGAGAGACCTTCAAAAAGGAAGCCTCCTAGCCAAGGAAGAGAGAGGAAAAAACCCACAGTGAACCTCATCCCAAAGTCAGGCCTCTCCCACTAGATACTGATGACCAAGAGTGATGGAATAAAATTCTGGTGCCTGAATCTTAGACCTCAGCAATGCCCTTAGAAGAGGCAGCCACCGCTTCATCCAGGAGAGGTGATTTCTGATTTCTACAGTATTCCCTGTTTAAGTCACAGAGCATACTTGGGCCTTGTTAGGGTGTGAGGGCATCTCTCCTGAGTCTCTCTGATTTGACAGCTTCATAATCTAATAAATGATTATTAAAATTATTATCATTTAACGTGGTTAGGTCCCTAGCTGTTTTTCCTATTTCACAAACCTCAACATTTTCCTAAGCATTCTGATACCATTGTTGAGTTTCTCAAGAGCTCTATTTCAGCTACAGTTTCAGCATCCAAGTGTGCCCTCCTGTAGAGGGCAGAGGGAATGACCTTGAAGGACAGGAGGAAGAGTCACTACCAAGGCAACAGTTAGATAAGTGGGGCTTGAGCCCGGGCCAAGAAAGTAACATGAGAAAACGACTCAGATAAGCCCCTCCCTAGTTCACACAAAGATAAAGGGAGGGCCTCTCCTTCGGCCCCAGCACCACTGTCAAGGAGTGTTGCTGTGCAGGGTGGCCAAAAGGGCAGAGATGGGAAGGGGGGAGATAGGCAGGTCGGGGGAGTTGAAGTTCCCCTGCAGTCATAAGTGCGGGTGGGCTGCCAAGCGCCCAAATTTTTATCATGTGACCGTGGAGGTGCTGCAACGGCGGTAACTTCAGTAGGCATAAGTACCATTTGTTCAGTGCCACTGTAACTTTGAACAGTTGCTAAACAAATGGTTGTTAAGTGAGGACTACCTGTAGCCCCAAATGTTAAAGCAACAATCTGGCAATTGTCAGAGCATGTTACATACCCGGCATGTCCCGGTATGAGCTGGAAGGCATGCTACGCGAGGAGGTCTCCGCAGTGGGCAAAGGTGCACTGCCTGCCACAGAATGAAGGACCAGGACGATGGCATTCACTAACGCGGGATGGGTTGGGATGAGTCTAGAAAAAGCAGTGAGAATAAACTGAGGGAGGCCTAGAAAGTCACTGTATCATAGAGCTGGATGACCTCAAAGCTCACCTAGTCTGTCCCTCAGGATGAAATCTGCTGCACTTCCAGAATACAATTCCCAAAATCATATTTAAAAAGAAGAGCACAATGAATAAAAATAGCATCTTTCTATTAGAGTCGACGGGGAAAACAAATAGCACATGAGCTGGAAATGTTCATTCTATTCTCAGTCCTCCAGGAACCTAGAGTTCTAATGAGAATGGCTATAGCCATGGTAATAAATTAAGGCACTGTTCCTGCAAACATCATCCCCATTAAAAGAGGGTGGTAGAGAACTGGTGGCCCTCCAGATGTTGGAGACTAAGCAAGTTGCAGGCTGAAACCATAGGGAACTATAGATCGACAACATCTGGAAGGAAGACGATTCCCTTCTCCTGCATTAAGCCCAATGAGATTCTACAATTCCTGGGCCCTGACTTCCTTCTTGGCTCAGATAATCTCTTGGAAAAAAGGTTCTGCGTTCTCAGTTCAGAGAGGAATAAAAAGTGTTTGAACCAAACTGAGCCTAGTAATTCTCAGTATCTTTCAGGGACAGGAGAAAAGTTTGGAATAAAAGCAAGAGTAGGAAGTTTACATTAAACAATAA